GAATTCAGGATAAAATTCTATTCAGAATCTTATGTATAACATAGTACGAAAAATATCTAAAGAATCCGCGAATACAGATATGTATCTATATATAAAGCCGTAAATAGTTCCTGAAATCTGTCGTAAATTATAAATAACTTTTAGGAAGAGAATAAAAACTGGGATTTTGTGTTATAAAACAGACATTTAATTCATTATAAAACGATAGAATATTAGCCATTTATATACTTACGTTATGAAAAAAAATCAGCGCATCAAACTTATTTACGTAATAATTATGAATCAGATATATAATTCATTATTAGTATTAGTACTAATATTAATGTATAAGTTTGTAACTTTACATGTATAAATATCTCTTAATTATATTAGTAAATATTAATTTTTACGATTAGCCTATATACAATCTCTCTTTAATGTAGTATACCTATATAATGTATAGTAAAATATATAGTATAAAAAAATCTGGTATCGAAATTTATGTAGTTATTTAGTAAACATACGTGATAGAATATTCAAAAAGTTAATCGCGATTAAACATATGATTGCAGTATTATGCAATTGTACGATAGACCAACGCTGAAATATGATTACGATAAGTCAAAAATCCCTCGATGCAATGAATGCTATTAATCCTCTTTTTGCCAATTTTGTAAGTAGATTAAACAGTTTCAGAAGATATAAGGATACATATACTAAATATTTAATACTTATACCCGTATATATTAAATATTTCAGTAAAGGAAAATTGAACGGGTAAACTTCGTGAAAACTGACAAATTTTGACAAATTTTTAATTTTAATTTCTGATAAACAGTTATTAAAATGTTATATAGATTATGTCCACGATTAAAAATCATATCAATTCATTCGAATAATTTCTATTAAAGTAATTATTATTTGTAACACAAATAATATCAAACATATCACTGATGAGATTTGAATTCGACCAAATATAGTACGTCCCGTACTATCTTCTTTTTACATAGAAATGTTTGCATTGTATCTATAAATACTTGCATTATTCCTATATATCAGTATAATTTATATATAAATATATTTTTTATGAACATTTGCATCAATTATATATCGATTAAATGCAAGTAGCATATGTCTTAATGCAATAAAATTGATTTTTTTTTGTTGTAAAATATTTTAGATCAAACATTTTATTCTATATTTTTCATTAAGTGATGCATCACGCATCAATGTATACGCACGTCTTCTATCACAAATTGATATGAACGTATATGAATACGTTGAAGATAAAAAAAGCTATATTTAAACTTTATAAATTGGATTTTTGCATGGTCCCCAAGCTCTAATTAAACTTAGAGTTTTATTCAGTTTTGACATCCATTGTAATCCTTCTTCCCTCGTATCAGCTAATAAAAAGTGTCTGTAAACACAGAATTTTAAAGAAACATTTTAATCCAAATTTAATGTTGATGACAAAATCAATAGGCAATACGTACTCTATTGTGGTTTCAATTCCATTCGTCTTCATAATGAGACTATCAGCGTCTCCAGATTGCGCAGGTCTCGATATCTCGAGTAGAAATGTGAAGGGACGAGCGCATTTTTCACGATTTATAAATTGTACATTCTTTGTAATTACACCTGTAATCGTGATATCATGAGCATAGAAATTAAAATCGATAATCGAGTGTGTAAAAGTTATGATAGAAGTTCAAAGATGAAGTTACCCTCCAAGTCAAGATATCCTATTGGACTTTTTTTATGTTCGTCCTCGGGATGCATCCAATAATAAAGTTTGGCGTCTTTAAGCCAGTACCATTTTCGACGCCAAGCACCCAAATTCGAAATATCCTCGTAAAGCGTCAGAAATCCGCGATGCTCCACCGATATCGAGAGTTTACGTGATATACGCATTCGAAGCTGTCCTTCTAAAGGAGAATGCGACGAAATCTAAACGGAAGATGCACATTAGCATGCGGGAATTATGCACAGGTTAAATCCGTGTCACATTAAAAGAATTAGAATACATACCCCGAGTAAAGTAAATTGCTCGCGATTTATGTCATTAAGGGTGACTGTCGCAGTCCCAGACAATTCGAATGAAGGTGACCTGATTGCAGTCGGACCTGCTGGGCTCTGTATATCCGGTATTACAAACTGATTCTTTTCTTTGGCGTCTTATTGACTGCCTGTAAATGAATTCAATAAATTAAATCCAATTGTTGTAATTGTTGTCGCATACTGTTTATAATATGTTTGTAATATTTTAAGTTTATATATATATATATATATATAAAGGAAAAAAAAGTGTTCTTATACTTACTTTTACGGTATGGCTGATATGATATTTCTTTTCATGTGGTAAATATTTTGGTTGTGTCTGAAATGTATATACTTCAACGAGAATTTTAAAATCGCTATGCAAGTTGTCAAATTTCAACAATGAAGTGAAACGAATACACGAATCGCCTGGCTCAGCAGTCGCTGCTTGAGTAGCGACAACTTCTCCTAAGTAATACATCAAACAGACACAGTGAAGATATGTATCTGCAATTTACGAAATTATGTCAATGATATAATGTCGGTTTGCATGAAACAATAAAACTTGATGTTACACTCACTCATGCCCATGTTTCGGAAATATTCTTGCTTCAGTGGTAACGTAATAGCAGAAATAGTTAATGATCCACTTCCCTGCACTTCTGGCGAACCTGCCTTGACAGGTCTCAGTGTACCTTCTCGTTTCAGCCTTTGAACTTCATTCAATGCAGCTTGACGTTTGTGAGCTAGAAAAAATACATGATTATATTTAAGTTTATATATATATCAAAAATAATCATGTCACATAAAAATAAAAATTTACTAGCAATGAGTAGAGCCCATTCGCCTCCAACATGTTCACTGGAGCCATTAAACTCGACAGTGGAGTGACATAAATTTAATGCTTTGCTAGCCTCTTCTATCTTCTTTTGTTGTGTTCCAACTTCGTCCAATAATTTTTTTATTTTATTTTCTACCAATACCGATTCATCTTCGGATTTCTCTGCAGAAATTGAATTTAATCCTGTTTCTTGTCTCGTAGTTATATTAACCTTAGCCAACTGAAATTATAACATATGATATATCTCTCTTTCTACATCATATGATTAAGATGTTGAATCTCAAAACTTACTTGAGATTGTTGTCGTCTATATGCACTAACAGTACGTACTAATGGTACGCGTTTGTTACCATCCTCTAGTCTATCTTTTAAAGGCGAACGATATCTACAAAATTAAGAATGGTTTGTAGAAAGCAATTAAGAGACAAGAAAAACATTTTCAATAAAATATGTGATTAATTATACTTGAAACTATTGCACTCCATCGACAGACTTTCACCACTTTTGTTTACTTTAGGCGGTGTTGGACCTTCCTCTCTTATGTCATTACATAATTCTTCATCAAGACATTCATCTAAATATTGATCCATTTCATCGAGTACCGAAATATCTGTTGTAGTGCTATCTGGATCCGGTTCTATAGATCTCTGTATTTGTAATGTAATTTGTTCAAAATTAGAATGTGCAAAATATTTAATATATATCTAATAACTTGTAATTGTGACTATTTATGTATGCATACCTTTTTGTTAAACAACGAACGTTCGTCAAGCGCATGCAAGATACTGCGTCCAAAACTCGTTCGCCCAAAAGATGAATTTTGTGTGCTTTCCTGATCACTTTCAGTTTCCTGATCAGTTTCATCATGCTGCAAAAAATTGAAAAATACATTTATTATCTTTTTGTATATCTACATATACATTCAACCATTTTAATTATTTATTTTACTCGAATATAATAATCAGCCTCAGAGACTGTTTCAGTTTCAGTCTCAGTCTTTTCATCGAAAGTAGCAGTTACAGCTTCGGTACTGTCAACAGTGTATTCTGTATCGCTCTCGCTTTCTGTAACTTCAATCTCGGATAAATTCGGATAAAGGGATCCCTGTTTCGGAGGACATACGCGGATACGTTTAATATCTGACACTGTATTTGAATACTGAATTTTGGGTGGACTTCCAACAACTGAAAAATGAAAGATTTGACATTATAAATGCTATAACAAGAAAAAATGAAAGAAAAATGGTTTCTTTTTATACCTTGTCGTTTTGCCGGAGAAGATTTAACATGATACGATATAATTTCTGGCTGTGGTAACGGTGGTGGGGGCGGAGGCTGAGCAATATGATCCTACGTTTAATAAACAAAGTATATGATTCATTAATACGAGTATATGATTATATAATTTATTATTATTTATTAATCAGTATATAATTCATCACAATAAAAACATTAGCGTATAAATCTAATCGTACCGGAGCAGGAGTCGGTTTCACCGGACATATAGGCGAGTTCTTCGGCGATGATGGTTTGCCACCTCCTTCGCTACTTTCGCTCGTTCGAACGCAAGATCGAGCGGCGGCATGAGCAACCTCCTTATTGGCATTAAATCGCGAACGTAGCATGCTTAATTCACGCTGTCTCTCAGCATAGGTAGCTTGTAAAATATGATTCTCCATTTCTTCTACCTTATTCCTATTGTTGCCTTGTTCGAACATTGCACGTTGCTCAAGAACTGTTCTGCTTGGAACGTCGGCATTGCGATTATACGGAGATGAGTCTAGGGATAAAATTATTATATCATTGAGGTTATTATTATTATATGTTCTCGATATGTGTCAAAATTCCACATCAAATTATGAAATGTCAGATAGTTTTACGATTACAAATTACATGTACCTATATTAGATCCTGATTGTGTAGGCTTGTCTTTTTCTTGTAACTTTTTAGGCGGTATCGACATTGTAAGTGGCGCTTTGGGTATTAATGGTGCTTCCCCTTTATTTCGCTCGAAAAACGCCATTCTTTCAGCGAGCGACATTTGAGCAGGATCTTTCGCCTTCTCTGCGTTTTTGGCTTCGAACATCGATGCTTTACTTAATACCGAACCTGATGGTTGAACCAAAGTCTTTGGCGAGCCGTTAAATACCGTTCTCGACGCTAATCGAGAACTACTACTAGTATTCGCACTTTTGACAACACTTTCAGGAGTATTAGAAACTTTACTGTCATTGCTTTTAGAAGAGTTAGCCGGACTGGCGGTCACACTAGTGTCACTTTCCGTTTTCTTGTCTCTTGGTGAATCGTCAGATTTATCGGACGAAAATCGTTTCTTTTCCGTTTGCTGATGAGCAAAATTCGTAAACTTGTGAGGCGATAAGCGACTTGTAACCACATTTGATTCCTGGGAACAATGCTTATAGTCATACACAAGGCGAGAATTGCTTTTTGTACGACTAAAACCTTGAGCCTCCTGTAAATATTTTTATCTATCCAAATATATCGTTTTAAATATCATTCAATCACTATTTCTGCTTCCAGAGACATAAAAGCGCAGTACAATTACATAAAATAGATCTAATGCATCTTTATATATTTAATAAATAAAAACATTTTATAAAGCTTTAGTCTTTCATATTTTAAAGCTAAAACTAAGGATATTTTACCAAATTTTCTAACACGTTCTTGTCCCATTTCAGTTGCTTACTAGGACTTAAATCTTTGCTTTTCCTTCCACTGACCCATTTGCTTGTGCTTGGTTGTGGCTCTGATCCATTTTTAACTTGTTCGTTAAACTTTGCTTGTATTTTTTCCGCTTTGCTATTTACTGGCTTGATCTAAAAATGATTATCATAATTGGATATATATATATGCAAATTATTTCAATATTTTATTTAAATAATATATTTTTAGATCACATAATACTTTTGGATTGGTTAATGATGGATGCGATAAATCATCCTCCCAATTGTTTATTGTAGAAGCTAAAGCCGCTAATCTGTCCAATCTAGCCCCTTTCTTAGCTGGTTTATGATCCATACTATTTTCTTCTGCAGTGAATTTCTCTTCGGTCCTATGTATGGGTGAACTTAATCCAAGATTATCATCTATAAAAAAAAAATCATATTCTTTTTATTGTTCATAAAATATTAAGTATGGAGCGAGCGTAGCATAGTAACCAACGCACTAGTCTACTATGCTAGAAGTCTCGGGTTCGATTCCCGAGAGAGCTAAAAATATTTACGTTCGTCTCGAAAGGCAATGGCAAATCACCGAGAGTAACTTTGCCAATGAATATTTAAAAAAAAAAAGGAAAAAAAGAAAAAAAAGAAAAGAAAGGAAGGGGCATTCGAAACTGGCATTAAACTGTAGATTCCATATGTCTGTATATAATTATCATGCGCACCACAGGTATATGATAAACGAACAAGTTTCATAACAAAAATATTTTCAGTTTTGTGTAATACTACAAACAATTTTAAATAATAATAGGAATTTTACAAATAAATTGTATCAATAATTTCTCAAAGAAAATTATAACATAAAGGCCATTGCACGTGAAAACATTTTAGTGATAATCATAAGGTCATAAGCGAATTGACCAACTATAATCGATTATTTTTAGACTATAAGGAGAATAACTAATTCTGATTGGTCAATTTATTTATGATCTTATGATTACAATTAAAATTTTTTTACGTGCAATGACCTTAAGAAGAAAATGTATAATCGTATATAGTATGCATTGTATGCTGTATACATACTATACTGTATACATACTATAGTATACGTATATGGCTAAGTATAAATACAATCATGTATCAGTGTTAGAAACAAGTTTTGAAACAGATTGTGTAGGAGTATCCTGTATGGATGTGAGAGTAACCCAATGGGAAGATTTAGGGTGTGTTCCAGATATAAAGAATTTAATCTACTACTCATTCAAAAAAGAAACAGGATTATTACTAAATCACTAATAAAATGCCAAATATATTTGGCCTACTTTTGAATGTTGCTTACCAGAATAGAGTTTTCCAAGTCTCTGCAACTTGGATTTTACGTTGCTAGTTTCAAATTCACCATTTTCCTTATTATCTTGTTTATTATTGAAAGATGCAGTAGTTTTAGGAGTTACAGGAGATTTGCGAGGAGACTTAACAGGACTGGTTGCAGTTGTTTTGACTGGTGACTTGGCTAAATTTTCATTTGCTGCTGTATAAGATAAAATGTCTCTTTTAACAAAACAAAAAAACTAATGGATTTTTTGTCTTAATGTATTTTATAAGAAATATATTTTTAATTACATTATCTAATTTTATAAAATCTTATAAAGTAAATCTGTATGAAGGAATTACCTGTAGCTTGTTCTAATAAAGCATTAGCATTTTTCAGGGGACTCCGCCTTTTTTTAACATCGTGCCCGGCATTTGACAATTGTTCATCTAATTTCTCTCTCCTTGCTTTAGCACGTTCCAACATACGCTATGTCAATATTAATATATGAAATATTAATATATGAAATACAATCCAGAATAACAATTTGATACAAAGCATGTATACATATAGTATACATATAATACGCTTGTGTATCGTAATTTGCATTATTAAATTCTATCATCATATCAACAGCGTTGCGTTGAACGTTACACGACATAACAGAAACTAATTAGAGAAAATAAATATTGGTGATGCAAATCGAAAATAAATATCGATGATGCAATATTTGTGTAAAGTCCACTAAACATAATTCGTGAATCGTAACTACGTCACGGAATATACCAGTGTATCTCGTATCATGAGGCGTCGTATCTCAGCAGAGAGGAAAGGAAGAAATAAGGAAAGCAAAATCTCCCTTACCTGGATGAAGGGTTCCATTGTTCCTGGCGTATCTACAAAACAGCCTGTGACGCTTTCCGACTCTTCCTCGGATTTCAACACGTAATCGCACCCCTGGATGTCCAAGCGGAAAGGGCACCGTTCCTCAAGAAACGACAACGAATGAATGCGGGCGGACGACCCTTGCGCTCTGCAAAGCAACCTTTGGGAGTATCCTTTATTTTCGACCGTTGAATTTAAACGCGGGCGCCATACTGACGGGAAGTGGGGAGTGGGGACGTCAAAAAGCGAGGGAGAGCAGGATAGAGAGTTGGGGGGGGGGGGCGACAAGGGAAGGGAAGTGCGCGATCGCGGCGTTGTTAAAAGGCGATAGAGGAGGAGAAGGAGGAGGATAGTGGGGAGAAGCGAACGGAATGACAGTTCCTCGCTGGACTCCCCCTTCTCCGCTTTCGCGGCCGATATCACGCCGCGGAAACGCGCGCGTCGAAAAATGCGCGCCAAACAACGGAGAGGGAGAAAGGGGGGGGGCCTTTCACTGCGCGAATTTCAGCACAGCATACCGCGTCCCGTTTCTTTTTTTCTTTTTCTTTCTCTTTCTCTCTCGTTTTTCTGCCCTTTAAGATAATTCGCATTGCTCGGTTCGCGTAGCGTGCGTTGTATTCATGCTTCTTTGGGACAAAGTGAACGAAGCGTTTCGCTTCGTAGAAAAAGAAAGAGAAATGCGAAAGATGAAATGGATGTGCGTGTACGAAGCGCCTTCGAGACTTCAAGATGACCTCTAACGAACCTTCCTATATATAAAGCCGAGATCGGATTACCATGTCTATCGAGCCGTGATGAACCTCGTATTGTATATCACTGTACCAAGAACGATGCGAGAAGAGACGCAAAACACTCGATAGGACAGGAGTTGCATCGCAGTGACGTAACTAAATTTCTTCCTGCCCGTTGATGAAATTATTGGGCCTGTTCTTTTTGGTTGAACTAGTTTGTACTAGTTCACAGTTTATCTTTCTTTCTTAGGGTGCTTTCCATTTAATGATCAACAAGGATAAGTATCATTTTGTCCTTGTTAATCATTGAAAGCCAAGAAAGATAGAACGATACTTGTGTCGACTTGTGTCATTAAATGAAAAACACTTATACTGGAAGAAAAAAGATAAACTCTGAACTAGTGCAGCCAGTTCAGTTAAAAAGAACAGACGCATTGTCTGCCAGTTCTCTTT